CTTGTTTTAGCAGATTAGCATGCATATTTTTAATAACAGGACTATAAATTCATATTTGTATTTAAAACAGAATATAGAAACTGGTTAACATTATATTAATGTCGAATCTCTAAACAAATATAACAGGAAGGAATTGTGCTTGATTTATTGGCTTCATATCTGAGTTTGGGTTGTTCTAGCTGCAAGTCAGAAAATTGCGGAAATTACCACTGGTTTTGTTGCTGGCTTACTTTACCAATACAAGCCAGAAACAATGTATTTTCATCTCTTTTTCAAGCTTTCCAACACTAAAGGAGCATGTTTATCACTAGATATTTCTGTAGCATGATGTAATTCAATGGTTCAAAGAGTTAAAAACCACCAGAGCGTGGTGTTAGTAAGTAAAATCAAATACTTTCCCTACATTTTGTATTCATAAGAGCCATAATGAGCAGTGAACCCACATCTGCACAGAAAGCTTGCACTTTTCCAGATGTAATTACAAATTAGGGAGCCTTGTTTTTCACTTTCTAACATGGTCACCCAAGTACAAAGGAAATGCAGCATAAATCACAGCTGAAGTCCAGTTCACATCTCCTCTCTGACTGGATTTCAGAATTAAGCTTTGGTGAAAAATTGTTGGATGTGGATAGATAACGGTTAATATGACAGTTTAGCATTTCTGAAATTAGGTTTAATTAAATTGTTATAAGCAGCTGATATCGCCCCAATGCTATTGTTTAGACAATTTGCTGCAGCTACTGGTACGCGTCGAAGCATCTGCTTCGGTTGATGCTCTATTGTCAGCTCATGTTCCAACAAAGATCTTTGGTGGAGGCATTTGGTCTGTTTATGGAAAAAATATGGTGCCGTGTTCAGAGATTAAACCTATTTTACTAGAATTAAAGTCACAGGGAAACAGCTTTTTCAATGGTTATAATTCTGAATTCTCCTGAGTTGTGCCTGACTTTACACTAGTGAATAAAGTGAATGCGATTGGTCGATTATCAAGAGGGCGGGATTGTTGTGGCGGAAGGTTCGCAATCAAATTTGGTTGTGGCCGGTTTATCGAAAGCATTCTAACCAGTTAGCAACTTAGTGCTAGTAGGTTCCCAGTGGGAAATTACAGTGGGACCAAGTAGGTGACTTAGCAATGACACCGTCAAGGAACGCTATGGACAGCAGAAACATGCAAGAGGAGGAGAGTTTTGTGTCGGAGGTTGTGGATGAGTCTCCTCCGTCATACATTTTTTATTTAGAGGAGGAAAGTGGAGATGAACTTTTTGTGGAAAGACACCAGAGTGGCAGAACCTTGGTTTGGTGTAGAAGGCTTACAGCCGTACATGTTTGAGCCCTTGCCTCACAACGATGCCAGTTCTGTTAGCTCTACGCCTGCTGAAGACACAGACGTCCATCCCCTTGAACACTGGGACGGAACTCAATGGGAAAGTAAAAGATTTTTATTTCTTATTTCAGCCTTTGCGTATATTAGCTGTGACATATGAATCAAGATGCTATGACTGAAAAAACTTGATTGACAGATGATCATTGATAAATGATTGTCTGAATCTAGGTGTACAAGCTGACGTATAACTAACAGGCCTGCATAAGATAACAGAGAAAAAAACACGGATTTTAAGGTAGGGTTTTTTTTAAATAGAAATTTTCTAACTTTTGGGACAATATCGTCTGGCAAAGAGTACATTTATATACATGTTTAAGCCAGAATTATTTGAAATTTAAATACGACTTCCCTACGACTTTAAAGGCCAATTTGATCTTTGCCCTTCTTCGACTAACAGTTAGAAGATGACAACAGCATTATTGATTATTCACTGCAGGAAACAGACAGAAATTTTATTATATTGTTTTACTACACCAAATTTTACACCTAAATTATTCTTAATATACTGTCTGCTCAAAATCTCTCAACAGAACATTACGTCTAAACAGACGATTGCTGTTTTAAGTTGGAACATTATGTAAAGAATCAGGTTTAATCCCAGCCAGTCTTCAGCTTAACTCTCAGTTCCTCAACAGATGTCTGATGAATTGAATTTAATTCAGTTCAAACTGCTATCACTAAACAGCGATTCCCTTACTGAGAGAAGGTTAGAGCTGAGCTGAGAGAACTTATTTTAAAGTATGCAGCTGAATGACTGACCTTCTTGAGGTTAAGACCATGAGAGATGTTGTCAGCAGTCATGAAAGCCGCCAGTAAGTGGGTGATGGCCCCGGCTTCACCGCAGTGAGGTCTGAATGTGAATGTGTTCATTCCTCTTTGTCTAAAACACAAAAAAAACAAAAAACAAACATCATATTTCAGCAATAAAGCAAGCCATACAAACAGTTAGATAAGAGGGATTGTGTTTTAGGAATAAAGGTTCTCACCTACGCAGCTGGTTAAGAACAGCAATGTTGGCGTACATGTAATAGATATAATAAGTGTAGGAGGGATTCTTGACAATGTCCCACTCTTCTGGCTTTGGACTTTTTGTAGAAAACATGTGTCCACTGTGTTTGGACTCATCGTCCACACTGTCAAATCCTGTCACCTGCACAACAAGAGCAAAACAGTTCATAACATAACAGAGAGTATGCTCATATGTCTGCTGGGTCACACAGATATTCTCAGAATAATTACACCTTTTTCTTTTTTTTTGCAGGTTTGGTTTAACACTTTGTTGATTTTGGTCCTGACTCACATGCTTGAGGAAGATGCTGAGTTCTGGGTTGGACTGTGGGTCAATTGTGGCCTGAAAGATGGGCAGGAAAATGTTCTCCAGCATCTTCCCAAAGTGTGGTACAAAGTTCCTGCCTCTGAAGATGTCACTGAGGTGGAAAAAAATCCAAAAATAAAAACTTCACTCAGCCTTCTGGATGAGTCACAAACTTGTATAATAACCCCAAAATAATATTTTTTTATGGAAAAGTTATACTGTTATAGTCGGGTCCATGGAATAAAATCATGCAAACTTACTAGATTCTGGGAACTTGAATCATCCATTTGAGATTGGGAGAGAAGACTCTGTGCTTTACAAACCAACTAGAGAGTTTTCCCCACTCGTTTGGATTGCAGCCGTAGATAGACAGACGGGGCTCAGCATACTGGTACTTGGCATCCTCCAGGTCACTGGCTACCTCCTAGAAAAACAAAGGGAAATATGGTCTATATTTTACAGATTTTATCTATAAAGGATTGATAAAGGAGTGAACAAAATCTAAATTTAGTTCTTGAAACTGCACATGGTGTGTAAGTAACAACAACACAACTTCTGAGGTTATGATATCTTTTTAATCAACTGTATTAATAAAATATTATTTCTATTTAAACTAGTGTTGCACCGATACCTCTATCAGGCGGGGCTCTTATCCAGCAATACAATGGTGGTATTGGTATTGGCCAACAAATAGGGAGCCGATACCATTTTGAGAGCCAAAAGTTTATTCAACTATCGTCACCCATTCCAGGTAGGCAATAAAAAGTTCTACTGGATTCACTTTGTATTAGTCTTTTCCTGATTCACAAAGGTAGGCAGCAGCTTGACAAAGCCATGATGGCAATTCTATTACATCCAAATAGTATGCAGTTCTTCAAATATACACACACACATCAATTTCAAACAGATTGTGTCGGTATGGAATCGTAACGGCAAATACTGCACAGCAAGGTATCGGTATCGGGGCCAAAACATGGCATCGGTGCAACACTAATTTAAACAGATGAGCAGACAAAAATGGCAAAACCTGCACATAAGACAGAAGAAATTTTAAGAGATAAAACTTGTGTAACAGTCTGACTGTGCAGCCTGTACTGTAAAGGCAAAAAAAAAAAGCTGTCCTCAAAGTAAATTCCGATTACGTTTTATGTTCACATGCAGAACAAAGGAAATGCGTCTTTGCTCATTAATCCAAATGTAAGCTCGTCCTCAGAAGTGAAGAGAATGTGATCTGTGAAAATGTAATTTGAAAGGATTGCAATTCTTTAAACTCAATCTGAAAAGCAGAAATAAAAAAATGAAATATAAAAAAATAAAATATAATTTCCATTTGCAAAAATTTGTGCTTGCAACAATAATGGAACAAAATTTGCTCCATATACATGCTAAGCTTAGCTGCTATTCTAAAATAAGCTTGTTGACCCAAAGTGAAAGTTTTAACTAACTTCCAATTCAGCTCAATTGAAACTAACTCTAATTTTATAAACCCTAAAGAGTAATTAACTTTATCTAAATATCTACAAACATCTATCTATAATAAGAGTATCTTCAGCTAAATACACAGTTATTATCTAAATATGTTATGTGCCTATTTAATAAGATATTGGCCCAATAATGAATTCGTAAAGATGCTAATTGAAGTCTACCTTATTTATAGCTTAAAAATGACAAAGAAGAGCAACATTCCTGCATAACAAGGTACATATATATTCCTCTAGGATTATATCAGTTGACACCATTGTTAGGTTTCATAAGAGTTTAAATATCTGATTATATGCAAATTACATCATTATTATCTTAATGTGCTATCATAGGCTAAAATCCTAAATTGAAAACACATTTTTTTTGCATAAATCTATATAGTTATTCTGTTAGGAAAAGTTATATAAATGAATTTGATTGCCTTTTAGGATAGGATTTGTACAAACAAACCTTAATAATGGTTGCAAAATATTCTCCGCTGATGTGATTCTCTGTCTTCAGGTAGAGATCCCGCAGCTCACTGGCTCCAACAGGGTTGTATTTAGCATTGAACTTGTCAAAACGCTGGAATGTTTGTCTCCCCTTGAGAGAAAAAATAAAAGGTTGTTAAAGAAGAAGAAATAGATTTTAATTTAGAACATCAGCTTTAAAAACCTTTGAATAGTCGAGGTATTCATGTTAAATATTCATGTATAATGACTTTACATTCTGAGATTAAACAATGAAAACAATACAAACGTTATCAGCTGCAACAGGAAAATATATATTTTAATTTTAAGATCCCTAACATCCATTCTACTAGTATTTTATTTCTTTAATTTGACTGATAAATCATTATCCATTTAATCCAATCTGTATCAGTCAGGTAACGTACAGCGTGCACATCCAAAGAGTCCACAGTAAGGTCATAGGGATGAAGGTTGAGGCTCTCAAACAGCTCCCTCATGGTGACCTCCTTCCCTTTAAGAAGGTGCACGACTCGATCGGCATCGACGCGGTAAGACTTTTTGATGAAGCGCAGCAGATGCTTCTGGTTCATGCAGGCAGCAGCGTGGATGTGGGTGTCCACCTGAAATACACAGTAATAACAGACTGAGTTGTTTTGATTGCTGTGACACCTGTTAGTCGTCTCTAGAGGGCGCTACAGCAGTGGCACCTTTTGCTAAACTACCTACTTTCCCATTTCCAATATCATTGCCCTAATTTATGCTTTTTTCCCCTTATGAATGACCAAAGTAAATAAAATGACCAGAATTACAGGATTGCTGCTTTTTCAAGTCTGCTTTTTACAGATTGTTTACCTTCCTGCAGTTGTAGAAATCCCTGTGGGGGTTCAACTTCAGCTCCTTCATCTCCTCCATCTCATTCAGCATCTCATGCACATTAAACTTGGAAATTAGGAACTTGAGACGCCTATGAGTGTAGGTCTTCCTGCAAAAAGAAAACGAAAAAACAAACAAACAAGTAAGTATAACATTGAGGTAACTCAACTACATCCATCTTTCTGTGGCAGTAGTGCAAAGTGCCTTTATATTTGGTGATAGGATGTATCTTTAACTGCAACTACAAGCAGTGCAGCTCTGAACAGATCTACTTAATTGTATGTTCTCTGTTATTTGCACTGCTGTAGATGCATATCAGTACGCCCTTTAAAGTTGAATTACTGAAATTATTGAGTTAAAAAATATAAAATTGAAATTAGACATTTCCTGTTTCAGCAGCTTAAATTATGGATTTTATCTACCATATTGGTTGATCAAAAATCTTTGTGTTTTTTTTTAGGTTCTCATACAGTACCACACATAAAACACTCTTCAATGTCCAGGTAAGTAGAGAAATATCAGTGTTTCTACCTGCAATGCATGAAAAGATGCAGAATCCTTTTTTTTTTAGCTAAACATCTTACAGTAAATCTAAGCAAATATTTCTATGTTTGCTTTCAGAACCTGTGTGACTCAAGTCAAATGTTTTCTGTAAGATTTGTTTTTTTTCTTGGCGGTTGAGGGAGCTTTTGGCTCATTCCTCCCAAAAGAACCAGAGCCCCAGAGTCAGGTCTGATGGTTTGGAATACCAATTTTGTGTAGAAGCATTAATTTACAAGCTTGTTAACAAATGTCTTACAATCTTTGGGTTTCTCAGTTTTCATTTGTAGATTATTAATTTCTTGGTATTTATCTATTTTTTTAGATATAGCAAGAATAATTTTATTTATTTTTTTGTTTTAAAGTTTCCTTTGTCTTTACAAATGGAAGGGAACTTCCGCTTGTTTCTTTTTGCCGGTTTGCATGTATTAAAACATGTAAAAACATGTTTGCCTTCATAGAGCAGAAATTCAAAAAAAGGGGCAAAGTGATTTCCTTGTTAAATTCAACCAGCAGCTAATACAAACATTCTATGTGTATGTACCTTTATTTAAATGCAGATCATCCTCCAATGACCAAAATGCACAAATCTTCACATGAGAATTTAATGCTCTGTATCTGGAGTCTTTGAAGATCAGGCCCTTTGCATCTTAATTTAGCTCAATTTAAGCTGTAACCCTTGCTTTGCTGCTTTTATTCTTTCACAGCTTTTCCACGTGTTTTACTATCTCATTTTGTTTGTTGTTTCCAACCTCCTTTCTCAGTATTTAAGCTCTTTATTTCATTACCCTTTTGCAACCCTTCCCTGCTTCATCCTGTTATCTCAGACTGGTCCATGTCCTGATTAACCTATTCTATTTTATTTTCTATTTCTATAATGTTTCTATTTCAAAACTGTAACAAATACTTAATAAAAATCAAATCTCAGCCTATAAAAATGTCAATGTTGTTCTTTCTTCTTAATGGCATCAGTTTGTGATGTGCACCAGTCCCTTCTGCAGTAAAACACCTACACAGCATGATGCAGCCTCTACCATATGACTCAGCTGTGTGGGAATAGTGATCTCAGATTTTTTATCTTCCCCAAATATTCCCCCAATCTTTCATCCATCCACTTTTTTCCTGCTTAGTTCTTGTCCGGGTTGTGGTGGAGCCAGTGCCTATCTCTGGCAGTCAATCTGCAATGCACATAATCTGTCACAGGGCAATGCAGAGACAAACAGGACAAACAACCTTTTTCATCCACGCACTCACACCTAAGAAGCCAATTAACCTAATAGTCATGTTTTTGGGAGGAAGCCAGAGTACCTGGAGAGAACCCACACATGCACAGGGAGACCATGCAAACTCTGTGGAGAAAAACCCCGGGGTAGAAATCGAACCCAGAACCTTCATGCTGCATGGCAACAGCGCTTCCCACTGCATCACTGTGCAGCCTTTCCAAACACAGGTTTGGACAGGAAATGTCTCCAAAATCGAAGTGTCTGCACCAGAGTTTGCCAACTGTGAACTTGCTGGATCAATGGCTTCTTCCTCACTCTCCTAACAGCATCAGCGAGCATCGTTTGCTTTGCTTTTCTTCACATTTCCCTCCCGAACAATGTGATGTTGGACACATCAATGCTCTTTATACTTTGGTATGATTGTTTTACCAACTGAATTCAAACATCTTGAATTTTGACCTGATGAAGAACCTGACTTTTAGGGGTCCATTCTTGCTTACTTTCTCACTCCTTTTACAAATGTAATGTTTTATCTTCAAATAAGGTTAGAAATAACTTTAAGATCTTTAACAATTTGTGGCATTTGGCAAACAGAAATAAATAGCGCTCCTAAATGACTTTAAACTTTCCAAGTTAAAGCTGCGTAAAAGTAAAACAAAGTACATAATTTTATGGACTGTAAGTAAACATCTGATTTCAGCTCATAAGTAATAATCAAAGTTCACATTTATTCCAACAAGAACGTCTTTCCTCTGCTTTTATAACAACTTTTGTATTTCAAAATTTCAAATCAAACTCAGCACAATCATCTTCAGCCTGCATTAATCCAAAGATTGTAGGCAAGGTTTTAATTCAATTCAATTCAGTTTATTTATATAGCGCCAAATTCACAACACATGTCATCTCAAGGCACTTTACAGTTCAACCAGATCATATGGCTTATTAATAATTAATAATATTAATAATATTAATAAAAATATTAATTAATAATCATGTCCCATTACACATCCTTAAACCTGAGAAGGATCATGAGCTTTAGGTTAACAGTATATGTCATTGTTTAATTTTAAATTATTTGGTTCTCCACAGAAGCCTGCACTCTCTGTGATCTCCTGTCAGATGAATTTCTATCTTAATAACTATTAGAAAGTGAAAGATAAATTAAACGATACTTACGTTGGGCCCTGTGCAATCAGAGCAATGAGGAAGTTCATATCATCAATGAATGTGTTGTAGTCTGGATGAGGCAGATCTTTGGGCTGGTGCTTGTCTGCAGCTGCAGCGTCGTTATACACATACATAAGACCGTCCTTCATTCGGGCTACATAGCCGAGGTCCTTTGGCAGGAGTTTGGTGTCAAAGGGATCCTCTCCATCCTTTGGAGGAGCATTGAAAACTGAGAAAAAAAGGATTTGGTTAAAAAAAAAACACACAGAATACTAATTGTTTTAATTGATGATATTTGTCAGTGTTAGGGTAAAAAAAAATCATAGTGTTTCATCATCACGCATGATGTGGCTTTTCTCTTGTCACCTGGCTGCACCTCATCGTCAATTTTAAATGTTTCTCCCTCTATTTGACGCAGAAACTGGGAGGCGGTTCTTGGGAAGCGCTGATAGGCAAGTTTCATGTACTTCTCCCTGATGGTTAGGGCACGGTACAGACCCTTACACGACAGCTCAAAGTCATCCATGGTCACCTGGTCAAAACAAAAACAAACAGAAATATGGAACATATAAAGTAGAGTTGACCTTATATGAAACCCCAATAAGGAAAAAATAATAAGTAGAAAGTGAAAGGACCAAGATCTCAATAAAACAACATACTGTATGTTATTGACTCACTGTTTTAAGGAACACCAAAAAATGTCTGTTGATTTTGTTCATTTTTTTTTTTAGAGAATGATGATATGTAATCTGTTTCTTATTCAATAAATATCAATTTAATGTAATTTTGGGAAAACAGAATTCCTGTGAAAGAGTATGATTAATATATTTTTTAAAATTTGATTAAAAAATAATAGTTGCAGAACTTTTATTAAAAAAGCTGCATACAAATTAACAAAAGGTTGATCTAAAAAATTTTCAAATTACAAAAATGTCTGCAGAATGTGTGTTTTTAATCAGCTGCTGAGGTCATGCTCACTGTGAGACCTTCAGCTGCAGTGCATATAATAAACCAGCTCAGCTAAAGGGTTCCTTTCCAGGAACTGGAAATGGCAAACTCATCGCCGTGAAACCTGAACTCTGGCTCGCTCTCACATCAGTCCCACCCCCGTGTCTCTGCTAATAGCAGCAGGCCTGGGGGCTCAGCCAGAGGAACATGTAGTCAGTGAAATTCAAGTTTAGACTCAAGCAACAGATATGATTTTATAGGCAGCAGAAAATTTGGAGTAAAATCTCTACAACATTTAAGATTAAAAAAAATATACATATATTTTGTTTTATTTTATTTTTTTAATTAGCATATATTTTGAAATTTGATATATATGCCAGTTAAATATTCTAAAATATTGCCAATGCTAATGTAAACCAAATCAAACATTTAACTCACCAGATCAAAAGTAAATCATTAACAGCTGTGTGCCATCTGAGCCCCATTTATCTGCCTATTTCAGCACCATCTTATGTAACTTTAACCTAGTATTTCTACTGGTGCAGAATACTGTGTCCACATTGGCAAGCTAACCAAATGTAAATATTAATGTCATGATCTTGGCACTGATGAGTGTCTTAATTGCTCATTTCATTCACCTGTCTATTTCTGCCCCGGTTCCTCATTACTGCTCAGCTGATTCACCTGCTCCTGCCTTTAATTAAGCTGCTTGCTCCCAGTCGCATTTCTAATTGTGTTCTGACTTCCTGATCCTGACCTATTTCTGTATTCGGACCTTTGAGCCTACCTGCCCTTGTACTTATTTGTTTGCCTGACCTGTCTTCGGATTCTGCTGGATTCTATTGTGGACTGAATCTGGATCTGCCTCTTGACTTCGCCCTCTGGATTATCCTGCCTTCCTTCACCATCTGCTCAGATCTGATCTACATTCAGTTCTGTGTCCTTCAAGGCTTCGGAGTCTGGAACTCTCTGTGCAGCAAGCGCTGCATATTGCCAGCTGACCAGCTCGCATCTACCTCATTCTTTGGCTCGGAGTGACCGCTAAACCAGGTTAGTAACTCACACGTTCAGATCATCCTCCGTTAGGTTTTCATGGTCACTAATCTGTATTTCCTCTCGCTAGAGTAACCTGCCTCGGTCGCCCTAGCCACTGCTGCTGCAGATCCACAAACCATCTGTCGTAGCTTTAATAAACACTTTTTGGATTAATAAACACTATCTGTCTTTCCTGATTACTGGGTCCCTTCTAAGTTAAAATTACAATTTATCTATTTTGGACTAATCACAAATTAATATAAATGTTTTTCAGTTTCAATTAATACTTATATTCTGCACAACCCTAGACATTCTGTGGGCGGATGTTTTTTTTTTTATAGAAATATATAATTTTTGATGTGAAGGTTGTAGCCAGTAACCTTAAAGATAACAGATATTATCATCATCATTATTGTTATTATTTGAACATATTTGGCCTTTTGAGATAAAAATGTTTTAATTCCTTTGGAAGATTTGGGTTGAATATTCTCGTAGAGTTTTAATTTTATGCTTCTTCTAACTGGAAATAATATTTATGTTTTGGATTAGGGTGATGGTAAGGAGGCCTTGCAGTCATGAATACCTAAAATTTAAGTTTGATTTGGATCTTTCACCTCACTGTCAAAGACAGTAAAATTATAGCAAAAGAAAAAAAGATTTAGTTCTTCTGTTCCCTGAAGAGAAACGTATATTAAGTCTCTGATTGTAATTTTTATTTTAAAGACTTATATAGGAATAATAGAGCAGTTAAGCTACTGTGCTACTCTTTTAAATCATTTAAGAAATCAAACTGTACCCCAGCAGCACAGTCTCCAATGACGGCCACTCTCTGGAAGTCAGGAACCTCCAGATAGGTAGGGGTGTCCACCTTCACCGACATCACAGGGGCAGCCGCTGCCTGAGGCGCAGCAGTGGGGACGACCACCGTCCGGCTGCGCTGGAGCCTCTTGCTGTTTTGGAAGCAAAGATGAGAAACATTTTAAATGAACTTCTGCTCAGACTCTGCGATCATTTAACTCATCCACAATCTGAAACCTGGAAATTATCCTCATCTTTTGTTTATTTTTAACTTTACAGCATCAAAATCCCAAACAGTATTCATCTCACCGTTTCTCTGTGTTATCATCAGCATGCAGGTGGTGGGCCATCTCCTGGTGCAGGATGGGACAGTCATCAGCCACATCAAACAGGGAGATTTCATCTCGGACCTGCTCATCTTTAGTCTCCGATGCGAAGACCTTCTCAGCGAAGGCCCTCATGTTGTCATCGGTCTCTGCCAGGTAGGTCAAAGTTTTGAGCTTTTAGTGACATACAAGCATCCTCCATGACTGAACGACACCAGACAAACTGCATCCAGGACTTTTTAGCTAAACTATTTCTGCATAAACATGCCAGCTCTCTGACAAGGGTGCGCTGGACATAATGGTCTACATCTATGACATGTAAAGCACCTACCTCATTAAAACTGATGCATACAGACTCTAGAACATGCGCTGAATAGATGTGACTAAAGACCGACTCAGCTACTAAGAAACAGCAACTCTGACCTCCAACATGTGTCCTGTTCACACAGCGGAGCGACAGAGATGAAGCACCGAAAAACACACACACTGGAAAAAATTGAAATCTAGATAAGTCATGTTTTCTTAAAATAAGTGCATTTGTTCTTGAATTGAGGAGATAAAAGAGACATTTCAGACAATTCAGATTTGAAATAAGAAAACACAATTGCATTGTCTTATTCCAAGTGCATATTATCCAGTTATCTTATTTTAAGAGTAAAAATACTCATTCCATTTGCAAACTATCTCATTTCCCTATTCAAATCAAGGGTAAATACACTTAATTTAACAAATTTTTACTTATTTCTAGATATTTTTTCCAGTGCAGTGGGCTTGAATGGATACAAGATCTTCAATGCACAAGTTCAGAATCAGTTTTCTGTTTTCAGTTTTAAAGCTCTTGCAAAAAATATATTTGCTTTTGGTCTCATTTCTTTTTGTGACATTTCATAGCAGTCTCCAGGCTTTCTGAATCTCATTCAGAAAGTCTGGAAACCAAAAGAAATGCACAAATGATTGGCTAAAGGAAAGGCTTAGACAAGAGAACAATGGATTGCTTTATACTTTTGCTGGAACTGATTTTGATAGATAGAAGATATGGGAAAGAAGGACCAGTTTCTGCCTACAACATGCACCTACTTTACAGCCAACATAGTCTAATACAACACAAATAATCCAGCACTTCTCAGCTTCAGTACTTACTCTGTTGAACTGATTGTATCATTCAGGAAAGTAGCATCAACAAGGATAAAATCACAAAAAGAGAGGGTTAGAAACATATCGGTTAGAGGTCATTATCATGTGAGCCAAAAAAAGAATTATAGATGTTTGGATCATGTGGGAGAGTTACTAACAGGGATGAGAACCTTGGTTAGATGAGGGTTTAGGAAGGTGAGGATGGAGAATGATGAGGCCTTTATGAATCTTATGACTTCTTCAACAGCTGAATGCAGTCACTTCATTAAGAATGCATCTTAACCCCTTAATGCCTATTGTTGCAAATATGCATCAAACTGTTTGTTTGACAAAAACAGCCAAATTAAATTCTGCATTTCTCCTAATTCCAGCTATTCAACATCCATGTGAACTTTGGAACCTTTGCCAAACACTTGTTTCTGGTACGACTGGTCCCTGGCGGTGCATGTCTATCATTTAAGTTGCAAATTTGCAATATACCAACATTGCAGAATAAATAATTAGAAATGTACTTATCCTAACTTGGCAACAACTTGAAGACAAAAAAAAACAAATATTGTTTTTATATATATGTATACAGATTTAGGCACTAAGGGGTTCATAATACATGCAGAATATTTCTAATGTTCAAGTGGAGCAAACATACAGAAAAGGATTGTCTCTGTTAAAGCCTCTAAACCTGCACATGCATTTATAGATGTTTGATGAAGCACTTCCCATTGGTTTGTTCGTTAAGCTTCACTTGGGTTTCAGTTTACTGTGAAACACAATATGTAGATATTTATACATATATAAGTTTATAGAAATCTGTGGGATTTTATCTGGATTTTAAAATAAAGTTATTTATAGTCATTGTGGGATATTTGACTCCAAGTCTAAACCATTCGTTTATAGTGGGGTTTTTTAACCTTTTGGTCTCAAAACATTTAAACCTTTTCTAGTGTGTGTTGCTTTTTTAAGTACCGTATAATAAAGTTTAAAATTTATCAAGTTTCTAGCTGTTCTTTAAAAATTTCTTTTAGCTGAGCTTGAAGCTACCAGAAGTATTTCAGATTTTGATGATTAAGTGCAGTTCACACTCTTTTAAATTTGCTGCCATCTGCAAATTAGACAGTCTCAGTAGTACTGTTTTTTTTTTTTTTTTTGGTTGTTTGTTTTTTTGCAGACAGACCCCCTTTCCACCAGGCAATCCCACACTGCATGGTGGACTATATGATCAAAATCATTAACTGCTTATAAGAATTGGGATTCCTTATGTCTAATTTGAAATATTTTGGAAATTTTAGACTCATCTGATGAGTTAAAACTCTTGCTGCCGTTGTTCAACTCCCTCTTTGGTCTAATTCTGTTGCTCAATTAACCATTCTCCACTAAAAACTAAAAAAAAATTAAATTTGACATGAAATTATCCTCATGCCTGGCAAAGGAACGCCTATAATTAGATACATTTTGGCAGAATAAACTGTTACATTTTTCTTCATGCTGCAGCTGGAATAAAAAAGTGAAGTGATATTCGAAGAGGTTAGATAACCACAGATAAGAAGCACCAACTGCTTGATCTCCTCTCATCCCATATTAATAGGAAGACTCTGCTGACAGGTCACATCCATCATACTCCTTCTGGAAGAGGCTTCACAGCTGATACTGAATCAGTTTCTATATTCTGCTCCACCTGAATCTAATACCGAACCCTGAGGTGTATCATGTCCTGCTCCCTGCAGAAGTAAATACCAAGAACTTTATCTTAAAATTGAAATTATGTGACTAAGATCAGAAATGCAAATGTATGCATTGATGTTTAACTCAAAATATCTTTATATTTAAATTAGGTGCATAAGAACCAGCAATAAACACCAGACAGGATCTGCTTGCAGAATGCATTTACTAAGTAAGCAGGCATAACAAATGATGATGCTTTAATCTTTTTTGAAGTTTGCTGTGGTGTTTCCATCATCTGCATCATAAAATATGTTTTAACCTGTTTGGGCAGGAGGCTACATCCGAGTAAAATTCAATTCAAAAAGCTGAAGTCCTGCTGAAGGAAAGCCTGGGGTCACTCTGCTGACACTCACCTGGCACCTGGACTTTAGGCATGGTGGCGGTGTAGCAGGCAAAGGCTTCCTGTGGACCGGTGATGGGTGGCACTGGACCACTGCCGTGTAGAAGAGTGGAGCCCACTCCTTGGTGACTGCACTATTTAGTTCCCTCTGCCTCACGTGTAGTCAGAACATGCTGTGCCCACATGAACGTGCCCTGATGTAATTGAGGCGGTGGGACCTGATATGTGTCAGCATCTATTTTAGGTCATCTATGAGCACCCAGGACTAAATGACGGGCATAATGTTTTTATAAAGAGATAGGCGAGTGTGGATTGGGCAGTCTGTGTTACATAACATCCAAACTGCTGTGTTCGTTATGACAAACCTGATTGGTTGGTCCTTAGTTGGTGATGAAGGGAGTGTCCATGATACGTATACCTTGGTGTCCATTAAAAAGAAAGGATGAAGATACCTTAATCCTTCTGTAGGAAGCTCTCTGTTCCACAGAAATTAATTTACTCTAATTCAGAGAATAATGGAAAATTATCTGAAAAATCTAAGTTCCTTTTGAGTAAGTTTGTTGTTCCATCCATCCATCCATCCATCCATCCATCCATCCATCCATCCATCCATCCATCCATCCTCCATCCATCCATCCATCCATCCATCCATCCATCCATCCACCATCCATCCATCCATCCA